CGTAAAGATTGTCATATATTTCAAGTTCGCCAATTTTGCGTAGGATGATGTTTCTAAGCCTTGCAAAGTGGTAATAAACACATGTAGCAGCGATAAGCTCTTTGAGGAAAGATGATGGAACATAATTTAGTGAGCCATTTCTATGGGTGCCCAATGACCTATATTTTAGTACTAATGCATATAGTAATAATTGCGTTGGTTATTTCATATATAAATACATAGTTTCAAGAATAAAATACGCATGAAAGGAGCGCAGTACAGGTGTCACGTGCTCTCCCGCCCACCCCCTCTGCCGGCCCCTCACCCTCTCACGGCCAGCATTCCCACACTTTTTCCTAATTTCGAAAAAAGAAAATAATGAAGACATCTACTATTTCATGACGGTGATTTTGAATTTAGTAAAATTTGATGATACTATCTAATAAACAAATAAGAAAAACTTTTGTTACATTTCTCGGATTGCACGTGTGTGTAAATGACTTCTGCGACGCATGTGTTTCGCTGCGAGTGTCACCGTAAAATCAATACTATAGCGGCAATACAGAAAGAAAAATGTGCTGTTCAGTTGCCATAGGAAATCACTTTAGGTAACATAGAAATAAAACAGATTCTCTACAAATATTTTATGAGTCAATGCTACATGTCCTTATAATATAGCATTATTCTTACATGTTTTGGAAAGAAAGGAAATATTTCGTATAAAAGTAATGTGTGCGTATGATATATATATATATATATATATATATATATATATATATATATATATATATATATATATATATACAACGAAACGATATAACCATGAATACGGTATGTAGTATGTAAATACTTCTTATCAGTATATACTAACAATTAATGAACAATGTACAATTTGGTATTATATTTGTTCACCATATAATCACACCATCTTATAGAAACAAAGACGTCTAAGAATATAGTTACCAATATATGAATGGATGATAATGTAGATGAATATTTTATACAAAGCTTATAATAACCTGACTAGAAATATACGCAGTTCGTATTCCGCTGTGGAAATTGTTGCAAATTATTTTTAAAATATATCTAATAACTGACGTAAGTTTAATTAATGTATCTGCACAAATACATAGTCAGAGTTTTTTTTTACATTTCTTTTACAATTGTTTTTGGCATGCCAAGTCATGATACGCATGAAAAAATGTTACGAAAAGGTAATAACCAAGCAATAATGATACTTATACCTATATATACCAGGGAATGAGATATATTTGTAAAACTCTTTAGCGGAGACTATAAAAGTAAGGTATATAGTAATGCTGCAAAAAACAAGAAATCCCTGGGAAACAAAAAATATTGAACAGAAATTGTTGACAAAGGTAAGGCTGTATCAATGGCGCGGTAACCGACTGTTATTTTTCGAAACAACGCGAAAATAAAAATAAATGTAAGTATGACTCCCAGCACCCCAGAAAACAATAAACTTAAATAAAAAATCAGGTGTCTTCAGGAGTATAAGTTTGTCTCCTTCCGTACGTGGTGGTATTTGATCATTTTGGAGCCTGGGAGAAGGGTGGCCATCGCGTCCCAACCCTCGTCGCCCCTTGCACACATCTGCCGTGTTTCCTGCGTGCTGACTGGCTCTCGCGCTGACCAATCGCAATCGCTTTGGGAAACAACCTCGATTGCGAGTGGTCCGTCGCTGGAGGTGCTGCGCGGACTCGGCCAATCGGCGGTTTGCACACCCCGGCATTTGTTTACATATTGGTGTTTGTTTCAAGGGCTGCTCCATTCTCCTCGTTTTCGAGACTGTTGAGGTTGTAACTGGCGTTTTGAATCGGTGTATTGAGATCTTGGAGTGTCGTTAAGCAACTCTGGTTCACCATGTAAGTATTCTGTGTCTTGATTACTTAGAAAATATGTCAGGAAAAGAGGTATTGGAACAGGACCACTCCCGTGGACGCGTCATGGCTTACAGAGGCAGATGTACATATTTGTAACCTGGAGGGGAATGCCATTGATTATGTCAGAAACTCTTGATGATAAAGGAAATTATTACGAGTGTAAACAAATAGATGTGATTTTTGCAAAATTCATGGGAACTATGTTTGCAGCAGGTAACCTTACCACCCCAGAGTGATGAGGGATATTCATGACAAAAAAGGTTCCTGATTAAAATTATCACTTCATTTGTGAGTGCAGATATACATCTAGCATGCATTCAATTTTTTAAAACCCTTTTTCTTTGAAACAAACCTTTGTTTATGTTGACCTCATGTGGAGAGGTAATGTTGAAAGATGTTATTTTTCATATTCTAAAGTTATTTTTTGAGGGAGTTGTAGGTTGGATAGCAAAGAGCTAGTTTTCCTATGTTGCATTTCTCCAGAATAGGGCTATACGTAGATACAGATCACCTGTAAATCAAGGTCATTTGCAATGATACAAGCAACTGTGGTGTTAACCCAATGTGCACAATCTTTTTCTGTGGCTGAGCAGTCCGCCAAACAGTTATAACCATATAGGCCACATCTGTAGAGATGCCACCTGTGCCACCGGCACAATGCCACCTTGGCGTCATAGTTTATGCCACCTGCAAATAAGGGGTTAAATGCTTGTAAATCCCTATCATTTATATTCTGCCAAGACTTGATTTTTTCATGATAAATAATACTTCCACAGACAGTTAAATATTCTCATGTAATTTTATGCGGTTAGAACAACTCGGATTTTAATTTGTCACAAACCATTAGTTTCTAAGTCTCAGGTGGATCTCACTTTTCAGTATAACTAATTTGATTATAGGGAATTTTTTTACAATTGTATCTTCATTAACAGGGTAGAGTATTTTACCATTCTTTATTGTTAAGTGTTATAATAATAGTAGTGATAAAGATGATAATAGTAGGATTAGATTTTTAAATTTGTGTGATGTTATTAAGAGTCTGAAAAAAGGATAAATACATACCTTTCAGACATTATTGGTAAATGAAGACCAAACCATTTCTGTTTTATGGCCCTTCCTATCCATCCAAATAACATGCACTTAATTTCTACCAGATGTAGAAACTTTTAGAACTAAAAGGTTTAAAATATGTGCTTTTGAGGAACTTGTTCATATACCATATCAAGTGTATTATATAAAATGGTGCAAAATATGTGTTATTGATTAAACTTACTCTTGCATGGTATGATCCGTGATTGTGTTGGCATCAATGCCTTCTATGCTTTGGCAAAGGCCAACAGACATCCCCCTTCCCCATTTATATTTTGGCTAGCTAAAAATTGAACTGTTTTATATTTGCTGATAAATCTTCAGGGTGCTCTATCAAAATATATGATGTACTACAGTGTACCTCTTTCTGCTATGATCACAAGTGCAGTCTGTAACTGAATTGAAACCCATCATTTTTCTTAGTTGTGGTTGTCCTGGCCATCTTAAGTTATAAGTAAAGGCAAAAGCAGGTCAGTAAAGGGGAAAAAAGGGTCAGTCATGTGAGTTCGTCAGGAATAACCTTCCTTATCAAAGGCAGGTTGGTAACTAAAGGTTCATCAAGGTGTTACATTGTTGTAAAAAAGAAAACACCATTACCAATAGGCAATGTAGCTCAACAATGTAGCCACCAGAGATCCTTTTCATTGGTAGGATTCAGTTTGCATGGAAAGTAGTTTGTCATACCCCTCCTCGACCAAAGTTTCAGCACAGACTGAAGTTTCTGAAGCTCCTTCTTTGTCAGATGGTCAGCAAGGCAGTGTCATTACATAACAGATTGATGAGGTTTCAGATTAACGCCGATCGGCGTGTAAACAAAGCGCTCGAAAGCTGGGGTGCAGCCGAACGAGCCGGCGGCAAGCCAGTGATTCGGGCTGATGTCCCCTACTCACGCGCTCAAAGTCGGTGCGCCGCCTTTGTTTGTTTGTTTAAGCGTAGAGTTTTTTTTTTTTGTTTTGTACACCCAGCGCCATTGGGTTAAGGGAAGTGGTTGCCTATAGCAACACTGACTCTGACATCAGCAGTGGTAATGACTGAGCTGGTTCACATGCAATGGTACAAGTCAAATGAACCATTGTTTGCTATTATAGTTTGAGTGTAAGAAAATAACTTTATTGGTTTGAGTAGTGCAGAACAGAATGCATGAAGGCAGTAGGGGTTCTTCGTTCATCCTGGAGTCGGTGTTTCTGACCTGGATGGTGAATCCACACTTTGACCATCTTCTTTTTGTTAGTCATCACAAAATCATGGATGTGCTTGCCCAAGAGTTATCTTACTAATACCTTTATCTTACCCAGCTGCTTATAAATTGATCAGGTGATACAGGGAAGCACTCTTAGAGAGAGAGAGAGAGAGAGAGAGAGAGAGAGAGAGAGAGAGAGAGAGAGAGAGAGAGAGAGAGAGAGAGAGAGAGAGAGAGAGAGAGAGACAGACATATTCTTGTCACCCCATAAACCAATATCATTTCCAATATGGAGAATGAAGACTGCATAATTAGAAGATAAGAACTCTGTAACAATTTTCAGTCTCACAATAATGGCTAGAATATCAAATGTCTCCTGTAGATTTCACAATATGCTGAAGCAGTAATATCATACGTTACACAAAGTGGCATAAGAATTCCATTGAGAAAGTACAAACATCTAATAGAGAAGTTATCTTGTAGCTTATGCTGAAACTGAAAACAGTACCTGAGCAAGATAAAAGTAAGTTTTATCCAGGAAGTCTCCGGGCTAGTACAGTGGTAACGTGCCGGCCTTTCATTTGAGGGGTCGGCGGTTCGCGCCCCGCCCAGGCGCGAGAAGTTGCAATTGTCGCCTGGAGGTTACTGCTGTGGCTGGGCACCACGGTGGGTAAGGACTAAGCTCATCCGAGTCAGCACCTGCTGACACACTGTTAGCGAGTCGACATTAGTCGGCACAGGCCGGGCTCCCCCACAGCCCGGGCGAGGCTCAGCTTCGCATATCGGACTTTATCCAGGAAAGTGGCCACGTACATGCAGTTCCTGTTATTTGTCATTTCACTTTTTTTCCACTTTTTTTACGCGAACGCTTAAGAAACTAATAAGAAACAAAAATGTGAAATAAGATTAGGAAAAAAGGAAGAAAATGAATTACAGAGTATTGTATCATGTACCAAAAACAAAGTTTGTGTGTGCTGCTAATGAGAATTAGATGTCACCACATCAGTGTACACACGAGTGTTGATGTTGGTAAAATGCTTTGCTCATTTTCTATATTTTTGTGAAATGTCTCTGCACACAGATGGCTCTGCTAGTGCTCAGCCACAAAGGAGTCAATTAGTAGACCTTGTGACCTTACATGATTTGAATTGGCAGGATAAACTTATTTTTTACTAGTGCTATGAATATCGATGGTGTTATTTTTATTATAAATATTATAATTACCATAATGTTATAAATATTAGTAACAACAAAATAAGATAACATAAAATATTTTCTTAACCCAATGGCGCCGGGTGTACAAAAAAAAAAAAAAAAAAAAAACTCTACGCTTAAACAAACAAAGGCGGTGCGCCGACTTTGAGCGCGTGAGTAGGGGACATCAGCCCGAATCACTGGCTCGCCGCGCTTTGGCGCGCCGCCGACTCGTTTGGCTGCACACCAGCTTTCAAGCGCTTTGTTTACACACCGATCGGCGTCACCCGGCACCAAGGGGTTAAATCAAAGAAAAGGGTAATCGGGCGAGACAGGCAGTACTCGTAACTGCTCATTGGTGACTTAGTACAAGTGTAGCCATCTATGTGTAAAAACAATTAAACAAGTACTCACAGTGGGCATAGCAAGTACTACGCATCATGCCCGTTGACATTGGGTTTAACCCATAAGTGGCATCATATTGAACTTGGAATGCATAACGATCTTCCTTCACAAGAAATCTGGTTGAAAATAAAGACAATCCTCTCCTATCTACCTGTGCTTACCCAGACCCTCTTTCCTCTGCCACATACCAACTTCCACCTCTTCTACCACGTGGATTGTGAGTAACAATTACACCATGTTTCAGGACACTCGATGTTTACATTTCGCTTATGTATTCATTGTTTTTTGAAGATGCTTTCATTATTCTTTTTAATATTGTCTTAAGAATATACACGTAGAGCATATGTTTGAGCAGACACTGGATATTAGGGTCCTAGTCCAACAGTATACAATATTTATTATTTTTATTGTTGTTTGTCAAATTGTTACAGTGGTATTTTTCTGGTCCATATTAACAGTGAATAACAGGAATCCTGTGTACTCCACAAACATCTGGAGTAAGTTGTAGAAAAGATAAGAGATTGGTGGGTCTCGATTAATTTTGTTTATCATTATTAAATTAGATTTTGTGCATTTTCCATTTAAATATGATAACATTGTTTATCTCTGTAATTGAATATAGTAAGGCTGTTAGCCATGTATAAGCCTGTCTTGTAAAACCTATAAAAGCTGTTGAAAAGAAGTGATTTCCCTAAAATACAAGCTAAATGTTGTAATTAGAACCAGCATTGTATTAAATTTATAAGAAATCCAGATTTTAACCCTTACAATTTGGGTGATATGACCATCACATCATGAAAAAGTGAGAATTATGGCTGAAGATCATGGGATAATGGGAATTATTTGCCGTGCACAAAGCTCTTGGAGAGTGATTAGACTCAATGGGCATTTAGGGAAGGATTCTTGCACTATTGCTATTGGTAAATGGGTGTGGAATGTACCATCTGTGAGCCATTACTAGAATAGTGCTGGCTTCAAGAAGGTCACTATTTCCATACTTAGGATCCTATTCCTACTTGCTGTGACTGGTAGTGCAGGTTGTATTACTGAGAATTTAATATGAAGAAAAAAAAAACAAGATTAAAAATGCAAAATATTTTATTATTATTATTATTATTATTGTTAGTGTTAGTGTTATTGTTATTATTATTATAGTTGTTTTGTTGTTATTATTATTTTTATTTTTAATTATTTATTTATTTTATTATTATTTTTTTTTATTATTCTAACTTAGGACTACCTAGAAAGATAATATAGATTCTGTGGAAAAAAAAATCTATTACCATTTGGATACACCATATCAAATGATAAATATAGACATTGGAAAATGCCTGTTAATGGCAGAAAAAGATTATAACATTGCTAAGAGGAGCCAAGGAGTCTTGACATTGCACATGAGTGTTTGTATACACCTGGCCGATATGATGCACATCCAAGTAAGTCTAATGCCCTGATTTTGGTAGAGGCAGCAAGGTACCCAGATACATATTTTGCTATATAATAGATAGTTAGGTATGGGAAAGAAAGAATAAATGTGTTTGCTTGGACAGATTTTTGTGTTACCTTATACACCATGTGTCATTGCAAGTTTTATTATTTTCCATGATCAACATAGATATTGCAAATGTTTTATTGTGTATTGGTGATCAGTGATGCAAAGCAGTACTCTAATTAGCTTTAAATTCAAATTTTGGCTGGTCCCTATTGTTATTGGAAAAGCCTACTTTTACCTGGCATTTAAGACCATGTTAATGGGAATTGGTTCAAAGCCTGTTATATTATTATATGAACCGAAAATTGTTCAAAGCATGTTAAAGGTTGATATATTCATTTTTTTATTTGTGGTTTCCAAAGCCACTTCCAATAGGCCTATACATTTTTACTGGAAAGTGTATTTATATAGTTACCTATCAGAAATGTGGCCTGTACTTTATTTCATTGTTTTCTAATTACATGAATACTTATACTTATTTTTCTAAAACATTTAGTAGTGACCGGGTAGGGGATAATCCTATACCATTTGCTATATTTTGAAAATAAGGACAAAGTAGCTATCTTCCATATTGTTTGATGTATTAATGCTGATATATATATTTTAGCAGATTTACCTAGCCTTTCTTTGATGAACTTGTATAGATTTTTGTGACTTTAATATCATGTTCTTACTTTGATTGTTCATTGTAAGACTATAGAAGAATAAGAATAAATTTGAAAAGTTGTACAGATATGTTTGGATTCATTTATAGAGGGTGTGTGTGTATGAAATGCATTCATTACTATGTGAAAGATTATTATATTTCAATACTAACGAAACTTCTGTGCCATATTCAATGCAGTATCTTCAAGTGATTTTTCCTTATTCATATTCTAAGAAAATGTGTATATATATTTGTTTATCTATATTAAACAACTAGATATGAATTTTCCATGAAACAGTTTTGTTATACTCATATAATGGCTTTCTTTTCTAGGGCTAATGTCGAGGAAGAGATGATAGCATTGAGATGGAACAACCATCTCTCGACGCTGTCGCAGCTCCTATACTCTCTGAGAGAAGAGGTAAGGGATGAAATTGAAATCATTCACTATATAGCTATCTAGAGGTTTGATTAAATACAAATGATTTCAGTGTTTTTATTAGGTTAAGGAATAGGTTATGAATAATGCATGTAGATGTTTCTTCTTTTCTTGGAATATTTCTTACAGAATCTATAACAATCAGAAGGTACAGTGAATAGCATTATAAATTCAATTTAATAGAAGTTAATGACAAGAAATATTTTGATGTTTGATGTCTATTTTGTACAAGTATCCTTTTACAGAGCAGGATACTTCTGTAGCTGTAAACAGAAGTGAGATGAAAATCCCTGCAAAAACAAAATCTTTAGCATAATTACTAGGAAGTCTATGACTTGCTTTTTTAATTGGTGATTATTATATCATATTAGGTATAATTTTACTGCAGGAATAAGTATTATTTATTACAGCTATTAACGTTGCCTCACTAAAATTTTAAAGCTTATCCAAACAAATGTTCATTTGAGCAAGGAAAGCATGGAGGTCACTTTAGATATTAATTATATCCTAGTGTACAAAGTGAAAACCAGAGAGCAGCTATGGAATACCATCCACAAATATCAAAATAGAAGAAAGTTAGAAATAATAATAATGGATGAAATCAACTGGAAACTTTGCTTTGCATAGGGTATAATCGTACGGCTGGCAAGGCTGTGTCATTATTGACAATTAATGATATTTTACTCAATTTCATATATAATATTTGCTTTATTAGACCACAATTACATCTCTTGAAATTCACTAATAAGCTGAAATGCTCATGGCGGCAGGTTTGCGTCACCTGGCCTGTAGCCAGATTTTCCTGTGATGGCATGTTCACGTCAAGGAAGAAAGGCATAAATAGAGGCCTCATACGTAATTTGTTATAATCTACTGTAAGTTTAGAGTGTATTGTGATTCACTCTATACAGTTGACCTGGTCAGTAACAGTTTTATGGTCCATTGATGCACTAATTTCCTGTGATTCTATCTCCTCTACTTGTCCAGTTATAGAAAATACCCTTTCACTACATATTTAGATAAACATATTCTTTATGTTTTTGTTATTGGTGATTTTTTATAATTATCATAAAAAGATCTTTACTTATAATAGTATATTGTTTTTCCTTTACAGGAGAATCTGATAGATGCAACACTCGCATGTGATGGCCGTCTCTTTCCTGCTCATAAGTTTGTGTTGTCTATGTGTAGTGAATATTTCAAAGAGATGTTTACCACAAACCCATGCAAGCATCCTATAGGTAAGTTTTGAGAAACATATATTTATTTATTTTTATAAATTTGTTTTGTCTTAGAAACCTGAATTGAAATGACATATGAAACAGTATTTATTTAAGTTATAGCAGGTAAAGAGTGACTAGGAAACATAAAGATTCCTGTTTAGACCCTCACTAGTCTATACGAATTCTTTGTTAAGTAAACTATTACTACTCAACATTTGACAGAAGACGGGCATTATTATATCTTAGATGCATAATTTGTTAAGACTATTTTGCCAGAAATGTAAAGATTTTGTCATCAGTTAGTCATTGGTAATTATGGTTTCCCAGTTTACATGAAGGATGTTAGAAGTGAGGACATGGAAGCACTCCTGGACTTCATGTATCGTGGTGTGGTGCATATACCACAGGAAGCTCTCTCAGGACTTCTCAAGACTGCAGAAGGCTTACAG